TAAAATCTTCTTTTGTAAAATAGGAAAAGGCTTTTTAGCTGTCACAATGCAGTATGAGACAAAAAATGGTTTGTAAAAACAATACTTAACGATAGATAGCATAAACGATATATTGATCGTATAAATCATACTGTATCAAATCAAACTTTTTGAGGAATTCAAGTAAAGGCAGGTACCTATCGAATAAAGCAATAACACCCTTAAAGCATAAATCAAATATAAGCGGACATAATAATCTATAAAAAATGTTCAAGATTAGAGATCTTTACATCAGTTAAAAATACATTATATTTCTAGGTATTTTTGTAACTTACGCATTTTCTTAAACTAAAAAAAAAATTTACTTTAAAATTATCAATGTATGTTAATATAAAAAAATACAGTTAAATAAAATATTGCTGACGTTGGCGACAATAACATCGACCCGTTTTTGTACACCTTTAAAAATATCTCTTCTTTTACTGCTTCATTGCACAGGTTTGAATTACAACACGCAACCTAAAACAAACAAAAAACTTAAAATAAAAAAATAAATAATTTTATGCGGAATGAAAGTTCTCTGTTACTTTAATAAAGGTAATTATGATGTTCCATTACTGTCTGAAGACCTAACAAACTCTTGCAACTTTAAACTCGCTTATATTAAAAGATATCTGAGCTAAAGAAGCAATTATAAAGAGACATTGTAGGTCAGTTACCAACATACAATATCTCGTAAAAGTATCCGACTTTTTTTAATCTAAAGATTACCTTCCGGTAGATTTTAATTAAAATCTATTTTAATTAAAATCTATTTTAATTATGCATGTATTTATATCTCTTAAAGGTATTTTCAGAATCAAATTAAAAATTTGAAGTTCTAAACCTCATGTAAAGGCTTCATCAATTAAGTACCTTTCCAAACTCTTAGAAGAAACTAAGGGTGGAATGCAAGAAGCGAACTTGAAATTTGAAGTCATACTTTAAGTCTAAAATTTGAGTTGAGCAAATGCAAAGAGCGAAATTGAGCTCAAAGTCTAATTTGAAAACCGGTCATTTTTCAAGCTAGATTTGAAAAGACAACTTGAAATAGCAAAAATCTTTTCCAAATGCAAGAAGCAAACTTGAAATTTCAAATTATACTTCAAATCTAAAGTCTGACTAAGAGACTGTCCATTAAATATGTCAAAAAAATAGGGGGGGGGGGTCTGAAAATATTTGACGAGGGAAGGGAGGAGATTAATAAAAGTTGACGTCAACAAATTTACTTTTTTAAATAAATTTAGTTACTTCGTTAATAGCTACAGGCCCGTAGCAACCGGGTGGGCAGCAGGGATATTTGCCCCCCCCCCCCCTCAATAATTTTTTAAATAGATAATTTTAAAGAAATTGACTGAAAAAATCACTAAAACAAAAAGTCCTTAAAACTATTTCGGTGACCTCCCCCCCCTCCCCTTCAATAAAGTTTTTTTTCCTATGGCCCTGAGTTATGCATACTTACTTAGTTACTAGTCATGCATACTGGCCGAGAAAAAAGGTATCAAAACGAGACTTTTACATGTCAGAATCAGACAGCCTGCAATCAAAGTTGCCACTTGCAATCAAAGTTGCTCATTTAGAGAGAGATCTTGGAATTCTTATCTCAAATGATGTTAAATGTAATACTCTTTTAGCAGCTGCGGTGAATGCTAACCGCTCCGTAGAGAGGCTGAAAAAAACATTTTTCATTCGTAGTTTTTCAGTGTGGAAAGAAATGTACACCACGTACGTTCGTCCTCACATAGAGTAAGCTATCCAAGTGTAATCACCTTACCACATAGACATAAAAGCGCAAGAAAAAGTTCAAAACCGTGCTGCAAAAGCCATCTCTGAGATTAAGCATCGCACCACCGAAAAGCGAAGAGTCATGTTAGGGCTTACAACAATTAAAGTAAAAGAGGTGATTTAATTCTGATGTTCAAGTTCATGCGTGAATTCGTTGAAATAAACTTTCACGTATTATTTAATTGTCCTACGTTGTTAAAGTATATTATGCGTGGTCATAATTAAAGGCTTGCACAGCAAAGAGTACTCAATTGCATGTCAGGAGAAAAATTCTTTATGAACCGTGTTGTGTCGCAGTGGAATACAAAAATAGTAATTGACGTAACTTCCGCTAATATTTCAAAAATCGACTAGATGAACATTTAAATTAGTTAAAAGAGAATTTTTAAACGATAATTGGAAATAAACTCTCCCCACATATGTTTCCAGTATTCTATTATGTTTTTAAAATAAGGTACTTGTGTCGCAGATGTGCAAAAGTATCTTAAAACTGTTAGTATAGAGATGCCTGATTCACCACATTTTTGTTGGTAATTTAAACAGCGAACATTCATGATTTTTCAAAAGTTTATAAATTTTTTACAGATTTTTGTAAATATTTTAAATTATTGACCACTAAAATAAACTAAACTAAACTTAAAAAAAAAATAAGACAGCATTTGTAGTCTTGTGTTACATACTCGCTCAACCTTTAGTATACTAATGACATTTTCTATATACTACTTTTTTTAAACCGTGTTGTGCTTTAAAAATACCTGACAAATACAGAACTAAATGAGCACACGCGAGATGTTTACTCGAAACACTATTATTTTTTCAAAGTTTGTGTTTGTTGGCCTAATGTAAAAATGTATTTCATAACTTTCAGATTATTGTATATATATTTTTTAAGTTTGCGATTATTAATCGAAATATAACAACTTAAAAATATGATTTTGTTTTGTTAAAGAAGATTTTATAAAAAATTTCAAAAGTTACAATTTCTTTATCATATTAAGAATTTCGGAAAACATCGAGGAATACTCTCTTTCATCAATCATGCACTGAAAGAAGTTTAAACCAACAGTGGCGTTTAAAGTACCTTGATCAGGCACTGTAAACCAATAGTGTTGCATGTTGTAATCACTTTTACCCCTATTCACTTTTTGTTCAGAACAAGCCTTTGTTATTATAAATGGTTTTATACATTTAAAAAATGTTTACAAGTTAAAAGTTGAAATAAGTTTTTTTTCCTAACTTTTACTTTTAAACACTTTTACTTGAAGCTGTAAACTACTACTACTACTATTATTTAAAAATGTTTAATTTATTTTTATAATTTTTTTATTTTACATAAGAAAAAAGAGGGAGGAGGGGGGTAAATTAACTGTTGACATAATTTTATAGGGAGTCTTTGAAAGTTTGACAAGTTGTTGACAAGGGGGAGGAAGGGAGGTAAAAACTGCCAAAAAATTGTTGACGTGATTAATGGACAGTCCCTAAAGCGTTATGCAAGAAACAAACTTGAGATGAATTCGTTCTTGAAAAATCTGATTTCAAGTCATTTTATAAGTTAGGTACCTACCAGTTTTGAAACCAAAGTTGAAATAAAAAAAAAATCCGCCATTATCATTTTGTATAATATGCAGTAAAATTTTTTTGTCAATTTAATCAATTCATAAGTGAACTACTAATGAATCATTATTTTATACTATATAAATACATTTCACTAGTATAACAACTGTCAATTGTATGTCGGTTATACTACTGGTTCATTACAGGTGAGAAAATATTTATATTGTCACTACAATTACATTTTAATAATTATTATAACAACATTATTATTATAATAATTATTATAATAACATATACATATATATATATATATATATATATATATATATATATATATATATATATATATATATATATATATATACACACATATATATATATATATATATATATATATATATATATATATATATATATATATATATATATATATATATATATATATATATATATATATATATGTGTGTATATATGTGAATTAATTTTATTTAGCTTTGAAAATGATTGTTCATAATAAGCTACGGTATTGGCTATTGTTAAAATTATTCGATATACAATACATACATTTAGGTATAATTCGAAAATCCTTTCTAAAATGAATTCAAAATTCTCTATAATTTTACAATTATCTTCTAAAATCTTAAAATAGAAAGTTCTTTTTTGATTCCTCCTCTTTAACATCATTTTCTAAATGTTTGACCAGATTTGAATAAAATGTATTGAATTCATTTGTATTCTTAGTTTTTGGCTTTTTATTATCGAAAAGAAAACCAAAAATTTAATTTAAAAAGTTATACGATTCAAACTGTTCTTGCAATGAATTTTTTACCTTATGGATTAGTTTGTTAAAATAAAATTCTTGAAACTTATTTCCAGTCGTTTGAGTTAGATGGTTATAATCATCATTAATTTCAGAAACGAGATCACGTATATTGAAATTATCACTTAGATTAATCATCGTCGATTGGTTCAATTTTTTTCATTCGGTATATCAATATTGTAATATTTCTCATTTGCTTTATTTTTATGGTCTGTATAATGATAATAACCTGCCAATCTCTTAAGATTACGTAATCTCCACTTTGACTATACTAGGTTTTGGTTATTTATCAAGACAATCTTTGTTTCTACTTAATATTTGAGCATCACAAGAAGATCGTTCAGTTAACGGTGCCATAACATTTATATCTACCGATGTTTCTTTTGCTTCTTTTATAATCTGTTCAAAAATCATCAAGGGTTAATAGCCTATGTATCCTGTAATACAATATTAATTGCTATATTTTTTCGCTGAAGCAATTGGCTAAAAATATGAAGCATTGGTAACAAGTGCACTTGTTGTGCTCACAACAATTTGGTATCACTAGTGATACCAAATTGTTGTGAGCACAACAAGTTTATAAGATTTTATTTGTTTTATCAATCATGAGTTTTTCAATCTGGATGAGTTTTACAATCTGGATGGCTATTTTTAGGTTTATCTAGCGCAAAACTAATCTTTTATCTGGTATTTCACGGCTTTTATACTTTTAAAGCAATACTCCCATCAAGTATTTATTGGGGCCATCAGATTAATTTTTGAATATTTTAATTGAATAGCCTATCGCTTTGTTAATGCAGCGAAAGCCTATCGCTTTGTTAATGCAGCAAAAATCTCATAGAAATTATTTAATGTAGTTTAATACTTCTGACTTTTAATAGTGTTTTAACACTATCATTTATAACTAAATTGATGTTATGTCCACCACACGTTTTATACCATACTTTGTTGTTGAGTTCTAAAATTCAACTTTTCACTCTCTTATATTCTCCTTTTATATTGCTTGCGTTGTCATACGCCTGACTTTGGCAATCAGCAATCTTGATTTTTAATATTTCTAATTCCTCAATACGAACGTTTGCTGAATCTTCTCGGGTTAATGACATTATACTTCCAAAGTTTAAGAAACTGTCTTGAACACTTGGCTTTTGGTCCGCGATTATAACATACCAAATAATGATGAATAACTGGTCTTTTTTGCAAAAATCTGGTGAAGTATCGGAGAATTATTACGGAGAATCATTACGGAGAATTATTCTCATGATTTAAAATTACTTACTATTGAATGCAATACTCTAGAGCATTGAATAGAAGCTAGTTGTAAGATTTCGATTTGAATTTTCACAGAAAAAGTTATGATGTAACTCTTTTTTCTGTCTCACTGATTGATTTTAAATGCGTTTTAAATTCTAGTACAAAACCAGTAAGTATTTCGATTACTCAAAAAAAGTTTGGTTCAAAGAGTTTTTCGCTGCTGCCCCTAAAAGTTAAATTTCATTCACTTAAAAACAATTCCGATTTTAAAATACATTTTAAAATTATTCGCTATCTGCGTTTTTCTTAATTGAACACATCTTCATTAAGATGATCCAGAAGTTCTGTGTTTAATGTTAAATTCTAGAATTCACCATGTACACACTCAAAATTTTTCTTTAAAGATTCATGTTCAGATAACCGTATTCCTGTAATGGCATAATCAGAAAATTCACTTGAAGTTAAGCTTATCTTTATTGATGAAAACAACCGAAAACAGAAGCAGAAACTTTTTCCTGTTGAGTTAGAATATAAATGGGTATTTCTTAATTCTTTTTTTTAAAAAAGTGTCATTGAAACATCTTCCTTGAGAAATTCTTTTATAATGGATATCTTTAATACTTTTTGGTGACTGCTATACCAAAAAACATCCTTAGTTCGTTGTCGATTTCAACAGGCCATGTTGCAGGATCTAATATATCATAATTACATTTTGGTTAAGTGCCGCTCTCCGTCTGTAATTTATCACTAATTTCTGAAGCCTTGTTAGATATAATATCCGCAATACTGACGCTATTGGATCCTGGCTTCCAATCTACATTCTTATCATATTTATCGATGTTTTGAAGTTGTGGTCATTCATATTTTCTTTAACATTATCATTTTTAAATTGAGATTTACCATTTAAATTACATATTTCAATTAAGTAGTGACAAACTTTTAAAAAATTTATGTAATTATCCAGCAAGGCTATTTAATTCTGCTATTTTCTGGATCTGTTTTGTTCTTTTTTGTGCACCGTTTTCATAACATCTTTTTGACATTTGAGGTAATTAAATTTTGTATGTAAATTTAAATTAAACGACAAGTTAGTTTAAAAATGTCAAAAAATAAATAAAAACTAACAATTTGAAACAATAAATGAACAGAACTATTGGGTATACTTGAAATATATTTGAAAAGTATAATTTTTCAAATTAAATCGTTATCAAATTAATCAAACTTTTTTTGTTTCCATTTGATGATTAAAACTTTTTCAAAGGGAAATTTTAAGTGGAATTCCATTTTCATTTGAATGGAGTTTCATTCGATTGCGCGTGCAAAATTAGGGAGTATTTCTCGAATTCTTAATAAAATAAGTTTCTAATCAAAAAGTAGTTTAATACTAAAGATTCTTAAGATTTGGCTTCTAGTGCTAGTTTCTTATAAATAAGTTTCATATTAGAAAAACGTCTTTTTAATATTTGGGGCCCATTAAATATTGGGGGCCCAGCGCGGTTGCGCTTATATATATATATATATATATATGTATATATATATATATATATATATATATATATATATATATATATATATATATATATATATATATATATATATATATATATATATACATATATATATATAAATATATATATATATATATATATATATATATATATATATATATATATATATATATATATATATATATACATATATATATATATACATATATATATATATATATATATATATATATATATATATATATATATATATATATATATATATATATAATAATAATAATATTGATAAAATCTATTTGTAATAAGCAAGAAATAAAGTTAAGTTTGTTTTATATCAGTAGTTCTATCCTAAAAATGTACTATCCCTTTTTAAGTTTTTTGAAGCCTAAATAATTTAAATTCCAAAATTGCATTATCCCCAAAAAACTTTGAAATAAATAATTTTGTGGCAATATTTGTCTTTGTTAGAATATTACAGTTTGTTTAGGCCAGTTTCACCAGTCTTCTTTTCCTCTCTTTTACTAAAATTCAAAAAATAAGTAGGTTTATTTAGCTAAAATTAGTTGTTTATATAATAAACTTAATAAATGTAAAAAACCTGTTCTCTAATTTATATAGTGATCAGATGGACACACTCTTCTTGTCACTTCAATGATACAAGTCAGCTCAAACTGAGTAGCAATTTTTTTCAAAGCATCTTTATTTGACATAAGTTTAAACATATAATTGTTTGGAGCTTGTTTTGTGTCCGGAGGTTAGCTATTTCAAAAACCAAAAAATGCTGGATCCGCCTCAGATCAATACAGATTTTGACCCTATTAATCTATTTCTGACTTGTTAACTGTTGTAACAAAAATAGGTTTTGTCGTACATTGTATAAATTCTAACTTATATTCACCATTTTCTTCTACTGATTTTGTTCTCTATCTCTTTAAATATTATATTCGTCCTGGTATTGAAAACTGTTATTATATTTTTAAATCAGTTTTCTGTAAACGTAATTAGTGTTTGTTTGCAGCCTTGTAAGAGTTTAAATTATTTTTTTTTTCTTAATAAAAATTTTATTAAGAAAATTAAATAATAAAAACCTTGTGTCCGACTTATATCCTTTGCTGATAACCACATAGCATATATGCCATTTTTCAATGTATATTGGCCCATTTTTTTTTTTTTTTTTAATTTATTTAGGTACCCCAAGAATACCTAACAGTCTTGTCACAGAGCTTCGCGGAAGTGCATTTAACCAGGAAGTTCACGCCTCCTTCCTTTATCGTGACGCAAAAATATGTCCAAGGCTCGTTTTGAGCCTGGATCTCCTGCTTATAAAGCAATCGCTCTAACCAATACGCCACGGCCGCACATTTTCTGACGTTCATTTAAATATTGTTACAATTTTTTTGTAATATTATTTAAATTGTTACAAAAAAATTGTTGTATTTATTGTATATTTTTATTTTATTTTTATAGAATTAAATATAATTACAATGTTTACATATTACATCATTATATATATATATATATATATATATATATATATATATATATATATATATATATATATATATATATATATATATATATATAATTATATATATATATATATATATATATATATATATATATATATATATATATATATATATATATATATATATATATATATATATATATATATATATAAATTATATATATATATATATATATATATATATATATATATATATATATATATATATATATATATATATATATATATATATATATATATATATTTATATATATATATTTACAGGGGCAAACAGAAACTTCATGATGCCCGGGGATATATTATAAAAAAATTAACTGGATGTTCTCTCCCCCCTCTCTAACCATCACCAAAATAAAAATAATAAGAAAAAATAAAGCTATTAATAATAGCTATTAGTTATAGTTATATTATTTTTCTTATTTTCTAATGTTTCTAGTATTCACAAAATAATTTTAAAATATATATATATATATATATATATATATATATATATATATATATATATATATATATATATATATATATATATATATATATATATATATATAGAGAGAGAGAGAGAGAGAGAGAGAGAGATATTGTATATATACATATTATATAGTATATTGCACCAAATGCGACATGTAGCTTTTAGCATACGTGGTTGTCAACAGTCTGAAATAATATTGCAGTATTCTTAAATCATTTTATGATGATGTAAAATTAAAAAGAGAAAACCTATTTCTTGCAAGTAAAAGCTTATAAATAGTTTAGCAAATTTGGCTATTATATATTTTACAAAAGTTTTTTAGGTACTAACTAGTTGCAATGTTTCTAGCAATGTGTTTTAATGCCTTTCTGTGCACGATTGTGTTTGAGTATATGATATAAAGAATGTGAATGAAGTATTAAAAAATTGTACCTTTGAATTTTTAATACCTAAATTTTCATAATTTCTGCGTCTTTTTAAACAACTTTCGATTCGATTGTTATGACAATTTTTTTTAAAAAAAATTTCAAATGAAGTAGTCTCGATGTCTTCAACCTTGTAGCCATAAGACTCTGTAATACAACTATTTTCATATTGTGAACAGTTTTTAATTTTCTGGTGATTAAGACAGTTTTGATCGTTATCAGCACTGCATTTATAACATTGCAAACCTTAAAATTAAAATCAACGTGTCAATTTAAAAATTGTTAAAAATTTAAAATTATTTGTAAACTAAAACGTTTTTCTTATTTAAATACTCCAAAAACTCCCCTTGCCTAAAATACACGCACACAAATTATTGTTTATAGAATAAATATTACCGCTGGTCGTTATGATATAAGCAACTATTACAAAAATGAAATGGACCAAAAATCTAACAAACACTTTATTATGCATTTACTTTCAAATCAGCCAAATTTATTTTTCAATTTTATTATTATAGAAAAACTACTTTATTTTTAGTTATTTTGGTTTTTCAGATTTTTAATGACAATGAATTCAAATGTCTATTTTATATTGATTGTGAGTACAAATATAAATATTTAATGATTTCATATTAGAAGAAAAAATGTTTTGAAAAAGTAAAAAGTTGTTTTTCTCCATGAAAACTTCATCAAGAGGATCAACGACAAGGATTAAAGAAGGCTTCAAACACGTTTCATATTTTCAAAAATTGAATTATTTAGAGTAAGGTTTGCAATAAATTTCTTTGCAGAAAACAGGATGTATTGTGAGAAAAAAAAAAGCGAAAAAGTGTTTCATGAAGTTCATAACTCATATTGAAGTGAAACAAGCAGAAAAAAGGTCTCAAAAAAAAATCTAAAAGTTCAAAATGCGTTTATCTTTCTATTTAAGATTATTATTTTTGTTATTTTCAATCACACTTTGTAAGTGATTTTTTCGAATGCTATAAATTAATATAATATTTATATTAATATATACATATCAAGTTATTTACTGATGCAATGTACTACAGTTACATTTTTTATCTTTGAATTTAGTGTTATGTTTATGATAATACTTATGTTTATTTTCTAAATTCAATTTTTGAACATCAATAATTTAACAGGTTCTTGTTTGAAATGCTATACGTGTACTTCAAGCTCTGCAAAAAACTGCTACTTGAAACAGAGGTTTGAACATTGCGAAGAGAACAAAAATACTTGTTTAACAATTTATCATACTGACGTAATTCACTCTGGTAACAAAACTTTAGTTAAATCACGTTTCCTAAAGTCATGTGTGGAAACCACTCGTAACTGTAATACTGATTATTGCCGCCCATTTGCAGATAGCAAATACTGCAGGGTAATGTATAATAAAAATTAAATACATCATATGTGATCTAAAGTTTAAATTATTGAATTTTAAAATAGTGAAAAATATATTTATTAAGTTCTTTTTTTTTTTAATTTAACAAAAACGAATTTAGCTTTTTGAGTAACTATTCATTATTAAATTTATTAACTTATTACTATAACTTCAATGTTAATAACTACAAAGTTAATATATTATTAATAACTATGAAAGCAGTTGTAGTAAAACAACATTTAAATTTTTATACTTTTTTATGTTTAGAAAAATAATTCAATAACTGTTACAACAATTAATGATGTTTGCACTGTAAACAACTCATTTTTAATAATTTATGTTGTTTAGGCTTATTGCTGCAATCGAGAGGGATGCAATAAATTTGATGACCCTGTCGTTATAAGTGCAAAGTATACAAGTTACGGAGAGATTTTGCTACCATTTTATTCGTTGATACAAATTGTTGTTGTTATTCAATATTTATAACATTTTGCATACAACAAAATATAATCGCTATACAATGAAACAGAAGTGCTTATTAGAAGTTTTATATACTTTCGGAGAAAAAGTACTAATCTGCTTTTAGCGGCATAAACAATTTTTTTTTGTTTATTTAACATTTTTATATAGTTTGTAAATCCTGTAATTGAAGAAAATTTAAAAAAATGTTTTTATTTTTATTTTTTTAAGTAAACCTTTTTACAAAAATTAGTTTTTTATTTTTAGAGTAGATGCCAACGCATACCAACTTCATTTGTTAACTCTTTATGGTCATATAAAAAGCATCATTGAATTTATCAATCATAAACATGGTTTTTCTTTATGATTATTATTAATTAGTAATGCAAGAAAATAGTTTTGAAGTCTTTTTGTGTTTTAATGTGAACTTTTGCTTGTTAAATTTAGTACATAAAAGCAGCTTTTATGCTTTACAATGTTTGTTGTCGTAACTAAATTTACACCAAGGAGTTGTGAAACTATTGTCTTGCACTCTTAACTTTGCACACTTCCGTACCGTAAGTTTTTATAAAAATTTTGAGAGGATTTTCATGAAGAATATTCAATTATTTTTGTAAAAGAGTATTCGATCATCTTCCTATAAACAAAATAACCAACAAACGTTCTGAAAATAAGTTAGTGAAACTATTTAACCAATCGGAAGAAGTTAACCTAAATCGATGTCTGCAAATTTGGTAGATGTAACTTGTGAAATTTAAAAATAATCTTCAGTAAGGGAATTATTCTTCCTTATACACACTAATTTAATATTATTTGATGATGACGTCTGTCAAGTAACAACAAAATACTGAAATATTGACATAAACATTAGACCAGTCAAAATTTTAAACAAATTGTTAATTAAGCTTGAAGTTTTCTCTAAACTATTAATCTTTTGGATAAATGATTAAAGGTCATTTTTTCGATAAATAAGATAAATAAAAACTTTCTGCAGAAAGACTCTTATTTATTGAAAAAATGTCAATAAAAACATTAATAATAATAAATCAAGAAATTTGCTTAATCAACTTATTAACGACATTCTAAAAAAAAAGAACTTTCATTCGTTTTCTAAACATTTATGTCGATAGAAACAGTTTGTGGAAAAATTCATATAGAAAATATGGACATGGAAGTTTCAAATAATTATTTAAAAAATTATTTAAATAAAATAAAATAATAAAGTAATGATAAAAAAGTAATTATTGTAATTTACTATTTTACAGCAAACAATGCATTGACTTAGGAGCAGAGGCATGCACCAAACCCCTTCCCCCCCCCCCCCCTGTCACTGCTCTAAAAAATGCTTAAAAACGTTTTAAAGTTTAATTTGAAAAAGTGCTATTATTTATAATTTGATTTGATTTAATATTTGACACAATTTCAGCCTTTACCACATTTATCGTTTTTTCATATTTTAAGATTTACACAACTTATTAGAGTATCTATTTTTCATGACAAATTTATTTTTTATCAATTAAAAACACAAAAAAAAATCGAAAAAAAAAACGGTAGAAAAGTAGGGCCTAAATGCAGGTAACTTATGCAACACCCTACAGACCGCCACAGCTAATAATGTTTTAAGAATATAAAACAACTCTCTTGCATATGTAAAAACAAATCAAAAGTTTGGATGACCGGAGATATTTTTACAAAATGAAAACGAAGTCTAACCGAAGTATTACATAAGTGTTACCTAGTCTCTTTGTTTCGTGTTGTGGAGAAGAAAAGTAGCATTTCAGTGAATTTTCTTTATAACAAAACATTAAAGGGCTAAGCAACATCAACCATATATTTCACTAATTTTTTATGTAACATGGTTCTCAACAAAAAAGAATCCCTGCAAAAAATTTCCTTCCTTTAGGCAAAAAAAAAATTATTTTCTTAGAACGCTGTTTAAATAGAGACTATTGATGGTTTTTTAAAAAACCTGATATCATCAAATCACACCAACGAATGATAATGATCTGTTTAAATCTTTGATAAAGAAAATTGCTCAATTGTCTCCAAGCTCTTTACAGAAACTAACAGATTTATTAAGAAACTGTTGCTCTGATTTTGGAACTTAATTTTAAAAATGACAATCAAGTTGAGGATAAAGTTAACGAAGTTAAAAACATTAAAGCTCCATCACGCCAATTTGATGTTCAGTTATATGGTTCTGAAATGAAACACAATTTTTAGCACTAAAACTTAAAAATGTAATGAATATGCAAAAGTACGTAAACGTAAGGTATCAGATTTTTTCTAAAAATTGTAGGCTTGTTGTTATTAGTTTTTTCAGATAGCTAATAAGGCACTTTAATTAAAGGCCTAAATTAAATTAAATCCTTCTTTTGAAAAATTAAACTCTCGCTACATTGAACATTTTTTCCAGTCTTTGAAGAGTTAACTGTAGTTTTATAGTTTTATTAATTAATACATTCCTTGGGTGTATTTAATACATTCCTTGGGTATATTCAACATTATAAATATAATACAGTATAGATTAAGAAACAAATAAATAAAATCGTTACTTCATTTTTTACTTTGACAGTTTTTTTTCACCTCTGATCCAGTTTCAGATTCTACATGGAGTTTATTAATTACCAAGGGAAAAGAATTATTGAAGATGTGGTGAATATTTAAAGAATATAGGTAACGGAAGATATGTGGTGATTTACTAGATAAAGGTAACAAAAGATTGATAATGATCAATGGCAAAGATCAAAATATGATCAAAAATAAAAAATGGATGAAAAGATGGATTAAGGAATAACTATTAGAGATAATCATTGGGTGATAGTTATTTTGAAAATGCAAACTCTTAATTTCATAAACTTAAAATATTCTAACATTAACTACTTGTTATAATTAATAATATATAAACGAGTTACAATCAAATATATAACTAAAATGACATTCAATAATAAAAATGATATATATTAATAAAAATGATATATAATAATATACAATGTATTGGTAATGCTGGTGACAGTAGTAATCCCATGTTTTTATACACTTTTGCAAATACCTCTTTATTTACTGCTTCGTTGCACAGATTTCTGTTACAGCATGCAACCTAGAGTTAAATAAGTTTTTATATACATAATGAAACAAAAAATATACCTATATACATAAAGTATATATATATATATATATATATATATATATATATATATATATATATATATATATATATATATATATATATATATATATATATTACTTTTAAATTTGTAAAACCAAGGTCTTCGTAACTTCTACGGATTAGAAAACAACTTTTGCTTGTAGAACTATGACATCTTTTTTGAAAAAAACTTTCTAATGAAGTAGAATCGATATCTTCAATTTTCATGTGGTAAAACACAGTAATACAACTATTTTCATATTTCGAACAGTTATTAATTTTTTGGTGACGGAAACAGTTTTTATCGCTATCAGCACTGCATTCATAACACTGCAAACCTTAAAAATTAAACATTAAATATCTTTAAAATAAAAAAAGTTAGTTTTATCTTCCTTCCTCATTTAGTTTACAGAATAGCTATTACCACTTGTCATAATGACATAGATAACTATGATGGAGATAAAGTGCACAAGAATTCTAATAAACATAATAATACACATTTATATTATAATCATAAAACTTTATAAACCAAATTTTCCTACTTTTAATGTAATTCCATTGGTTAAATTGAAAATTTTCCTACTTTTAATGTAATTCCATTGATTACATTGAAAATTGAACTAAAATAAAAGAACTATTTTAAATTGATTGTGAGTGTAGTTATAAATATTTAATGATTTCAAATGAACACAGAACAAAATTTAAAAACTTTGAAAAAACAGAAAAAATATTCTCCAAGAAATGTCATGATCATAACGATAATGATGGAGGATTCAAACACATTCTATATTTTTGAAAATTGAATTATTTAAAGTAAGATTTGCAATAAGTTTCTTTGCAGAAAACAGAATGTATTGTAAAAAAAACGAAAGAAAAAGTGATTCACATTTTCTATATATTATATGTAAGTCAAACGAAAAACAAAAAGCACACAGAAAAAGAACGAACAGAAGATATACAACGAAAAGAAAGAAAAATAAATTTAAAAAAGATAAAAAAAAGATTAAAGACAGAGTATAATAATAATAATAAGTCTATATCATGCAAATAACTTTGTGTTCTAGATTAATTGTTCTTTCAATTTCCATCTCAATTTGTAAGTTTTATTTTTTGTTTTGAGCAGGGTTTTTTCTCGTAAATAAGTTTTTTGCCTGTAAAAATGTATGGTTTCTTTTACATCCGAAAAGTATTATTTTTAAATAAGCAGTCATAATTAGAATAACATATAATGCATTTTCTACTACTTCATTTTCAATGAAATATTTTATGGTAGTAAAAAATGTCGTTTGTCAATCATTATTTTATCCGTAATTACAAAGCAGTGTATGGACGCAACTTATTTACGGTCTTGTAATGAGTGGTAGTTGTGTGGTTCTTAAAGATAACAAAAAATAGAACATAAAGCCATGTTATTTAAGAATTATTTAAACCTTCTATGGGTGAAATCAGAGCCATGGCTAGTGAATTGAAAATCTCATAATAAGCTATGTTAGAAGACTAATAACTAGATTAATATCTAACAAAAAAATTGTGAATTTTTTAGATAAACGGTTGTGTTATTCTCGTTACGAAATATATATTTTTTAGCAGTGATTTGAGACGATGAACTTTATCTTATGTAATATTGATGTCATATTATTATGATAAATCAAGTGTTATAAATAAAGATAATGAAAAATTGAACTATTTTACTTAGTTAAATGAAAATAAAATATTTCTTAAATCAAAATAAAATATTTTTAATTGTTATTTTTATTTAATAATTAAAATTTTAAAGAAGTGTAAAGTAAAGAGTTTATCCTGAGTCTTTATGAATAGATTACACCAGTACTAAATAATTCAATATGTCATATTTGTAATTTATATAATGTATGTAATTTTTAATATTTATGTTTCTAGTTGATATAGGGCAGAGTTGCCTTAATTGGAAAAATTTAGGAATAAATATTTATTAACCAAAAATGGCTTAACTATGAAAACATTTATGATTTGATTGTGTAAACAGACAACCCTACTATACTTTTAAACTTAATTTGACTTAATTGATTGCACTATTGTTGGAAATAAATTTGTTTTTGCAAAGATACTATTTTGTTCCCTAAATTGGAAAACTTTGATTCGTAAGGCAACTGGTTCCCTAAATTGGAACATTTTGATTCCTAAATCATAACAGATTTTTTTTTTTTTTTTAAAAACCCAGTAAAATTAACAAAATTTAATTAAAAAAGATTTTTATCTTTACAGTAAAAATCTAAACAGTTAATTCAAAGCTTATTATAGGATTAGTATTACCCTGAGAAATTTAAAGTCTACAAACAAAAAATTCAACTACTAAAAGTTGAATTTTTTTTTTATAAACAATGATTAAAAGTTTCAACTGTTATGACGTTCTCTATATTTATTGATTGAAAATCACAAAATAAATGTGTTTTTTCTAAGGTTGATGGTTGTTACTAAGTATTTTTAAATTGAACTCGAACTATTCTATATCTACAACCCTTTGAATTTATTTCTGGTTGAGTAAGGAAAAATTCAAAGTTCCAATCAAGGAAACTTTAGACTATTTTGTTATATCACTGCAATATCATGCTTGCAGCAACTTATAACAAAAGTTTCTATTGTTATTTTGCATGTAAAATCCTATCAAATTAAAACACACAAAACTGTATAACCTATAGTACTATAGTTTACCCAGCGCAATCATTATAGTGTGAACACAAAATTAGACCACTGACAAAAAATGACGCAAAAAAACTTTAAATCAATGCACATGCATTTTTTGATGAATAACTTTCAAAATGTGTCGAAACGTAGAAAAAAAGGCGTTTTAATAAAAAAATGCAAAATATAGTTATAATTCATATTTTTTCAAAAACAAATGCAAGTGTTCCAATTAAGGCGCTGTTCCAATTTTGGTAACTCTCCCCTAATAATACTACTTCACTTCATATGTAATTTTGGTTGAGTTTTTACTGACTTTTAAATTTGCCGATAAATTGATATAATTTACCTGTAAATATCGGTAAAATCGGTAAAATTTGTTGTTGTTTAAAAATAATGTTTTTATAAGATTCATATTTAATATCTTTATTGATGAGCTTTGAGAAAACAAAGTGAATCAAATTAGTCTTTATTCATACTGGATTGAGTTTCTGTCTCAATCAACCATAATTCAGCAGCAAAACTCGCTCAGACTAAATATGTGTTGAAGAGCAAAACATCGAAAACATTGAAAAAAAATTCAATATTGGGAGTTTTCTACCAATAGCTTTATTGACTAACATTTCTTTTGAAATTTTAAGTTCGTTGCTTGAACTGTGATACTGTAATTTTTTGGAATTGCTTCCTATAATTCATAACTAAGTGTTGGCTTTTGTTAAGATTTTCTGAGCAAAACATTTCTTAAATGTATACTCATTCATCTGGATTCATTGGAAAAATTTCAGACAGCAAATTTTTGAGCAGCATTTTGAAGTACAGACTTCAAAGACATTTTGAAAATTTCTTGTTTTTAAATATCAGATGAACTTTCTGGATTAGAAAGATATCTATATAAAGTTACAACATTGTTCTGCCTTCTTCCTTAAAACGTCTTAATAGTGCAATCTTTATTAAAATGCAAATAGTTGAATCTCCTTTTTTCGATCTTTTTAGAAAAAACTAAAAATTTCCTCAGCAGTAAAAAGAGTTGCATTCTGTTGGCAAAGGGCATCTGCTGCCATTTTGACTGGTTCAAGAGCAGTAACAATGCCACATGCAATCTTTACTTCATCTTCACTGCAAACCAAATGCGGACTTTATCTTTGTTGCTTATTACTTGCAGTGTGTTGTTATCAAATTTTTGGAAAAGCTTTTGTAGGTGTAATACATTTGATGCTTAATTAGAAACAAAACTTAACTTTTCCAAACTTAAACATCATTAAAACTCCATCCGTAACTGAACAGTCACAACAAACAAGAGGTCTAATATGGGTTGAACATTAGCTCTCGCTAATGTACAACCCATATTAGATCTCTTTCTCTGTTGCAACTGCTGCTGCTTTTTCAGCCAGCAGAGATCGAATCGAGTCCAAATTCCATTATGTATTTTTTTTGAAAAATATTAGTTTTTCAAAGTGATCATTTTGTTTATTTAGTGTGTTTTAAAAGGGTTTAAGGCAGACATAATCACAATTTAAATGGAAAAAACTGAAGTTTTTCAAAAGTTGGGAAGGGGGAACTAAAGTCCCTCCGCCCCTCTTGTTCCTACGTTGGTATGTATATATATATATATATATATATATATATATATATATATATATATATATATATATATATATATATATATATATATATATATATATATATAATATATATATATATATATATATATATATATATATATATATATATATATATATATATATATATATATATATATATATATATATATATATATATATATATATACACACATTTTTGTACATTATTGTAATAAGCGTAAACCTTTAATTCAAATGTATTTTATTTTATCCAGGTTCTACTTTAAAATGCTATACATGCACTTCAAGTTCTTTAAAAAGTTGCAATGTTATGCAGAAACTAGAGAAATGTACTCAGATCGAAAATACTTGCTTAACCATTCATCACACCGTCGTAATAGAATCTGGTAACAAAACATTGAGTAAAACGTATTATCTTAAAAAATGTGCAAAACCCACTCAGGAATGTAAAGCTTATTATTGTAACCAGCTTCTACATAGTAAAGAATGCACGGTATTAAAAATTTTGTAGACTGTGTTTAGAAAATTTTAATTTTTATAAAAATAGTGTTAATGCAGTTAGATTTAATCTATTAATGTTAGTAATAGTTAGTCTTGTACAATAAAATATACAGAGAGAGTGTTTTTAGGAGTAAATGATAAAAAGCCAAACTTTTATGTATTTGCTAGTTGAAATTTAGTCAGTGTTTTTATTACATTGTTCGTCAATTGAATTCTCCGAATGTAGAAATAAAATACAGATTAGGATTTATTTAGAGCATAAAAATAGTTGATGATGTAATCTATGGTTGATGATGTAATCTATGGTTGATGATGTAATCTATGGTTGATGATGTAATCTATGGTTGATGATGTAATCTATAGTTGATGATGTAATCTATGGTTTTATTAAGCTATAAAACTAAGTTGTTGAGAAAACTTAAAACAACATAAAAATGTAATCACAACTTAAGACAACTTTAACTTGAAGTAACTGATAAAGACAATTTCTTAAATTCAAATTGGTTCAACAAATTTATTTTTTATTTTACTTAGTTACTGAGGTTTAGATTACTTATGTTTCATAGTTATCATTTAGGCGTTTTGCTGTAATCGAGACGGATGCAACAAATCAATCAACCCAATTGTTGTTAGCGCAAAGCATACAAGTTCTACAGAGACTTTGATGCCGTTTTTTTTGATGCCGGTTTTTTTGATGGTTTTAACTGCTGTTATTATGCAATATCTATAAAGTTTTGTTTTATATACAATAACGCTACCGAAATACGCTAAATATATTAAATTAGTATGGTAACGATATACTATTTAAAAATAATATAAATAAAATATAATAACAAACTTTATTTGTATATATATCTATTTGTAAACTAAACCAATAAAAGTTGTTTTTTATTTGTTTTAAATGTTATTAGTATTACTGCTAAGCATTTAAATAGAAAGTTTGCGCCTCGCCTTTACCAATGGCGAGGGGGCTAGAGGCAGCCTCAGTCTGTTTAATCAATCATAAAACTATGGAGTAAGTTTAGGTTAACAATATCTGCAAAAATAAAGATTACTCTGCAAGTTACTACTATAATAATGATTCAACGCAATCGCTTAAAGTGGGTTGCAAGAAGATGCAACCTTATAAATTTCTATGTTAAAAATAATATTAAAAATCTTTTTATAGTAAAAACCTATTCATTGTAAACCTTTCTTGTTTTTGTGTCTTTGTGTGTGTCTGTATGTATGTGTGTGCACTTATATGTGTATGTGTGTGTGCGTGTGCGTGTGTATTTTTATGTGCGGTTTTTAAGGTACTTGTGACCTTTTAGAGCACTTATTTTGTTAAAAGTATATGGTAACAAATTATAATGCGTTTGCATATACTTTTAACAAAAGACGTGTTGGGGTGTCAAAACCTATCCCACCCCCTTTCATTAAGAAAATTCAAACCAAAAATCTTGTGAAAGTTTTTTTTAATTTCATACAAAATGCAATTGCAACCTTATCTCTTCCCAAACCTCTTTTCCAACCTCTTTTCCAACCTCATCCTATACCTCTTTACCAACCTCTTTTCGAACCTCATCTATTTAACAATGACGTTTCCATGATGTCTGTGTTCCAACACTTTATATCAAACTTGTATAAACCTAACAAGCACTCATGAGAACAAACCGTTTACAAAAATGTGCTTTTTTATTTTCAAAGAAATTTAAAATAAGTTTTTTAGTATAAAATGAAATAATATCAAATAATATCTTATTTTATTCACTTAGAAATTGTTAGCTTCAATATTTCAATTTCTCTAAGTAAACATATCTTAAATAAACAAACAACCAAGAAATTTGGCTTTGAAACTCTGCAAATTTAAGAAATTTTTTTGTATCATGTTTATGTAAAATATTTTAAAGTTTCTGGATTTCTTTAAGAGGTCTGGAAAACACTCCTCCGATTGTCTGGTGTTTCTGCTAGAAATGCTTGATTTGCAATTGCCATGTATCTGTCACATTGTATAGAGGTGTCACACCTATACAGAATGTGACAGAGTTCTAATTGGAAATGAAACAGTAACGCTGTCAAACTATTCAGTTTTATGAACTAGATAATAAAATCAATCTAAAAGTTTCCATTTTAAATTTTGCTCACAACAAAAGTTTCAAATCAATTTGATACCCTTTACGTTTGAGTTAATCGATAATCGATAATCGATAATTGAAAATCATGTAGCATAGATCATACATCAAACCATCTGTTTCCAACAGTTTCGTCATAGCAACAAGGAATATACTTTTAAAGTTAAAAGTAAATGAGTGTTGAAAGAATAAAACAACAGTTGCCTGGAATAGTTTACATATTTCAAACGTTTAGGAATATCATTTTTTTGGGAAATTCAAACAAATTACTTCACAATTAAAAGCGCGTTGAGTTGCAAGATATGCACCTCTTTTACTCAAATATAGTTTTAGCTTTTCTCTTAAGAGTTGAAGCAATATAGAGCGATGCATCCAAAACATTTTTACTTTGACTTACGCTTTTATTACCATTGGTTTAGTTATAAATAACTTTTATTATAATTGGTATAGTTATAAATAACTTGGACAACTGTGTTTTTTACCCGGTAAACTTTGGATAATAGTGGTTTTTTCAAAGTTGCCCTTTTTTTAAAATGGCCTTAGAACCTTAAAACATAGTTTTTTGTTATGAATTTTTAAAATAAAAAAGATTAGTACTGAAATATCATAAAAATATCTAAAACTTAGACATCTGTGGTTTTACCAGTCTTTATATATTTTTTGATTTTTTTTTAACATGACTCATGAAATGAAATAAGTAGTTTGAGCATTTTGTTGGTTGCAATTTATTGGTAGCTTTTAGTTGGTAGCAACAAATTACAGCTCCAACACGTTTAGAATTGCAACTGTAAGAAAATAAATGAATCATTTGATTTGCTGATTACATATGTGAAGATTGGCTTTTTTCTTTTAAAAAAAATGCATAATCCAAAATTTTTCTTTTAAAAAAAAATCCAAATAAGGAGCAAAAATCTGCAAAAAGTCAAAGAAACAAAAAATTTCAGTTTAATCTATTTTCAAATTTTGTGTGCTGAAACCAAATTAAGTTATATCTAAAGTTATATTTAGTTAAATCTAATTGAATATATCATCTGTTTAAATATGAGATCTTTTAAAACAATATCGGTCCTACACTGCGCGACAAAATGATTAGGTAACCCTAAAATATTTATTTAGTTGTATAACTGTACGAACGCATTATCTTTCTAAAAAACAAAATTTTCACCACTAATGACGGATGCTTCACGTCGTAAAAATTCTTGAACAATTAAAAAATAGTCTTTATACAAACAAAGGGGTTTATCCTTCTTTTTTCAACAAAATGAACTTTTAATTTACCGTAGTTCCTAATCGCACACCAAATCATTACACCGCCACCACCCATTTGACACCGTTGTTGTGTTACTAATTCTTTACCCAAATGTTGAAAGTAACAACTCCATCTATTTGTTTCATCAATTCAAACTGTTTTTTTTTTCAAAAAAACTTTACTTCTTGCCACTCTCCCTTTCATTTTTGCTAATTTAGAGAGCATTTTTTTCTCATCTGGGCTCAACAGTGCACCACGATGTATTATTAATTAAGTTTTTTATTTCATACTTAAAAAACTAAATTTAAGTTTTGAAAGTTTAAATCAATTTACAGTTAAATAACCGCATGTGGTATTTACATATTTCTAAATGCTGACAACTGCAGTTATGGGGATTTAGGAACAAATATAGCGTTTTTTGTAAAAGTGTCTTAAAAGTTTGTCGCTTTAAAACAAAAATCATTTTTTTTAATCGTCATTATTCCAGTATGGTGCAAGCGATATCATATAATGTTAAAATTACTTTATAAGTTCTAATGCACAATTGGGTTTAATGGGGTGCCTAAATAGCGCAGTGTAATAACAGATTGAAAAAGTATTAATTTCTATTAGTGTGCGCCTAAAGGTAGTCCATTCTACAGAACGGCTTCTCAAATAATTGGAATTTTATTTAGAAACAAAATTATTTCTTTTGACCAAAACTTTTAAAAGTATTTTAAAACATTTTGTTAAAAAAAAAAAGCAGTGATTTTCGGTTTAAATTATTTAAAAATTCGGTTTAAATTATTTTAAATAAATTGTGACTTCTTAATTTATTCCAGGCAACTCTATGCTCTATGTAACAAAAAAACTGGCTCATCCGATTGGATGAGCCAGTTTTTTTGTTTTATACAACTAGCATCTTTAATATAAGTATAATATTTGTTTGTAGCATCTTTGATGTAAGTATAATAATTGTTCTGTCTAACATCTTTATTATCAATATTTCATGGATTCAATTTAATTAAACCCTGCCACACAGACTTTGCCATCGCAAGTAATACTTTCATTTAGCTGATTAACATCATGCGCAAATCGCTCAATAAATAGCTTCGGCCAAAGCTATTTTTTGAGCGTATTATTTTCGGTCGAAGCTATTTATTGAGCGTATTATTGAGTGTGTTATTGAGCGTATTATTGAGCGTATTTATTGAGCGTATATATAATAGAGCGTGTATGCAAATATCTAACGTACGTAAACTTTAAATTAAGTAATGTTTAAAACATACTGAAACATTTAAATTAAACTTTAAATTAAGACTTATGTTAAAACATACTGAAACATTTATCAAGTTTTACAGTATGATTTTCACTTGAAAATTGTACCCATACTTATTTCTCCTTAATTTTAATCTATAACATTATTTCGGTAAAAAAATTATTATATAATTTTAAAAATTTTTCCTTAACATTATGTCTGTGTGGCCGAGTAAATAGCGCGTCGAGCTTTTGAACAAGTAAGCCGTAGTTCGATTCCTACCACTAGCAATTTTTTTTTTCCGAATATTTTAAAATACAAAATACTTTTTGCTATATATATATATATATATATATATATATATATATATATATATATATATATATATATATATATATATATATATATATATATATATATATATATATATATATATATATATATATATATATATCAGGCGCGGATCTAGGGTATAGCCGTTGTGGCTAAGGCTACACCTTAAAATAATCAACAAAATAAAAAACAGTAAAGTAATCCGACATATTTTCAAAATAAAAATAGTATAATTAATCAAGATAAGTTTATTTTTATTTGTGGCTTAAAAAGCAATTACTTAAAACTAAAAAAAAACGGAACTAAAAAAAAGATCGGTCATTGCATATCGGTTTGTGGCTGAGCCACAAACAACCTGATTTTACGGCATAAGCTGACTAAATTATTGTTTTTTTAACATAATGTATTTTTATTGAAAAGTCGTATGCCGTCAACACTCGTAGCCCGTGGCTAGATTGCTTTTTGGCTTGTGGCTGTAATTATTTCCCAGTCTTTTTATACCCAGCTATTTTTAAATAACGAAAACGTCTTTATTATTTTCTTAGTAAGTTGGTAATCATGGTGGATATATTTTGAAAAAAAACTGTTACAAATGCTATTGGTTCACATTCATAACATTAAATGTTACAAAAAAAATTGTTTACAAAACAAAATGGTTTGAATATCTCACCAGTTTAATTTCGTAGTTAAACTTTTGGCTTGAAAATGCCCTGATATAAATGTTTTTATGCCATATTTTAAAATGGATAAAGGTTTTGAAAAAACTTTTGTAGCTTCAAGGTATATTTTTAACTATGTTTTCACAGACTATATTTGTAATAAAAATAACTAGCCTTTTATAGCTGTAACTAGTTTACTTATATACAGCTGTTTCTGTGCTTATTGTTTTAAAATTCTTATATCATTTAACTAAAACATTATTATTTTATTAAACAGGTTAATACTATAA